GCCATGGCTTAGTGCTATGGAATCATGGGAGTTAGCACTCTTCATTAAAGGGAATACTTTATTAGTAATGCGGCACCACATTTTTCAGTCAATATGTTCAGTCACACAGAAGCATCAAAATGGACATTCATTCCCACTGGAGGAAGTTCTAGCAGTCCATTAATTACTAACCTGATACCTATTTACATCTATGTCAATCCTACAGTATATTTTATATTTGTTCCCCATGTCTCTTTCATTTTTGATAAACAAGATACAAGGAACAGTAACCATTAGTGGACCTTCTTTCAGCGAACCTCTACATAACATTAAACTGAAGACCAAGAATATGGTAACGTGAGTTGAAACAAGGACAAAAATAGGCTGGCCTCCTGTTAATTATGATGTTGTAAGACAGACTTATGACCTGTTTCATATTCACATTACACTTATGAGCATGACTCCATTACTATGACTGTAAATGTGCCCAATATCCTCCTTAAATGTGAATGAGCCATCCAAAGTATTGTCGAGTGATGTGCCAAAGGATGACACATCCAGACTTTTCCTGCCACCAAGCATTGCGACAGGATCCTACATGTACCACCATGGCCAAATGTGCCATATTACAAGGGACAGAAACAGTCGGTGCTCCCTCCCAGGTCTCCAAGCTCAGAGCTGAATCCAGGAGTACCCCCAAACTGCAAGAACTGTGTTTACAAGAGGAGTGTAATTTAACACAAGATGAATCCCTATTCCAGATCTGTCATTCAGCTGGCCAGGAGAACCTCTTTCTTGTCTACACTAAGCTTCAATGTATTTGTCTTCATCCTGTGTAAGATGTGCCAGGCACCAGTTTAGCATAAGAACAGCTTCCTTGGAATTACCTCATATACTCATGTATAAGTCCAGAAATTTTAATTTAAAAAAATTAAATCCAAAAAACCTGGGACAACTTATTATTGGGCCAACATGAATACTATACTATAACTCTTATCCAGAAAGGAGCCCTGCCCTTCTCTGAGTGCAAAGTAAGAGCTTAGTCCATCCTGGTAGGACATAAAACAAGTAGTGAGCCCCCTACTCTCTTTGCTGTGGCACCACTTCTGAATGCCTTTCTGAAGGCCTGCATGGGGAAATGGCAGCAGTGAGCAGAAGCAGCTGATCCCCTGAGGAAGCATTGGTGCTTACATCTCTTCACAGAATGATCTGCAACTTATTCATATTCATAGGTCATATCCATATCCTTACTTTTGGCCCCAATCCTGCCCTTGACTTGTATTGATACATGAATATATATGGTAGGTGAAAAAGAATAAGGCTGGTCATCCTATGCATGTTGGTGACACCTGACTTCACTACACTCTAAACAGCCTCAATCCATGGTTTCATGTAGAAATACTCTTAACAATTTCAGCTATATGCATTTGTAAAGGACAATTTTGAGTAAAAACAAATAGCTCATATTTCAGTGTCGGCTGAACTTTAGTTCATGCCATCATAAACTGTTTAATCATGCATGCTTAATTTTAGTATCTCATAAGCCTAAATATAAATTGATGATACATTATATTTTAGGCTGGAGAGCTTGTAAACAAAAGCAGTTTTAAAAATGATAAACTGATGGTGATGTTGATGACAATATGGACCTTCCACAAAGGAAATCAGCTTCTGATATTCCAAAGCAACTGTGAAAGTGACACAAGATCCTTATATTCTCCTCCTCGCTCATAGTTCCTTTGGGTCAATGAAGTTGTAATATAAATTAATGCAAGCAGTTGTCGTTTATTCGTTCAGTCGCTTCCGACTCTTCGTGACCTCATGGACCAGTCCACACCAGAGCACCCTGTCGGCCATCACCACCCCCAGCTCCTTCAAGGTCAAGTCAGTCACTACAAGGACACCATCCATCCATCCATCTTGCCCTTGGTCGGACCCTCTTCCTTTTTCCTTCCATTTTCCCCAGTATCATTGTCTTCTCTAAGCTTTCCTGTCTTCTCATTATGTGGCCAAAGTACCTCATCTTTGCCTCTACTCTTCACTATTTTATCAAGATTAATGCAAGCCACTATATAGATTATATATTTAATATAATCATGGCAACCTAGGTTAGCTCTTAAATAATCAGCCACGATGAGGACATAATAGGTTCAACTACACTGCAGAAGACAGTTTGATACTACTTTTTACTGCCATGGCTTAAGGCTATGTAATCATGTTCATTGTAATTTTCCAAGGTTTTCCGTCTTCTTTGTCTCAACAAACTACAAGTCTTGTAATTCCATACCACTGAGACATGGTAATTAAAATGGTATCAAACTGTATAAATTCTACAGAGTAGATAGATACACCCAATGTTAAACTGCAGTTAGAAACGAGCACTGAGGGAAAGGAGAAAGATGAAATTGGGGGGGGTAGATAATTTTTCTTATTTACAAATGGCAGTTTGAAGATCAAGACCAGGATCTCTGGACTGAGCAGGAGCTTCAGAAGCCCAGTTTTTCTGATGTAAACTATACTGCACATTTTCATGATAAATAGTAAAGTATAAAAGAAACTGAAGTTTTAGATAGAAACTGTAGAGACATATCAAATAACGAATAAATATTTCTGCAAAGTCACAACAGTACTTTATACCTTCCAAAATAGATGTAACAGAAAAAATTCATGTCTCACAAAATATCTAATCATTTTTCTTTTGTGGCACACAGTGACTACCAGATATGTAGAATCCTTTCTAAACATTACTTTAGAAAAAAATATGTATTCTTGTGGTCTCTCCATTCCTCAGAGTCATCACATTGAATGATGATGAAGTTCAAAGATAAAATTATAAATAGATTATGAAGCAAATAAAACACACACAGAGAGAAACATAGGTATATATAAATCAATCCTTTGTCAAATATTGATTATTGAAATACAATTAGACTGCAAACCTGTTCTTTGTATGGTACGGAACAGTTAGTCTGCTAACCTGTTCTTCGTCTGGTATCATTTCCTATGCTGGTTCTATAGAGTGAGACAAACTAGAGTCAGACTGAAATATTTCAATAGAACCAATTCCACTGGAGAAAGTACAAAGGTTATCCAGAAAGTAAGGCTACAAGGCACATAGCTCTCGTGGGGAATTTTCTTGGGGGAAGTTGGTATCACTGCCATGTAGTGGGAAGCCAGCGGAAGCAAACAAGCACTGCCAGTCATCAGTTGCTCATTGACTGGCATTGTGGTGAAGGTTAGAGATGAGTGTCCTCATTCCGTTTCCCTCCAAGTGAGAAGTTTGCACTGTAATATGTTACCTAAGTGCTAAGGGCATGAACACCTCTACAATTCATTCTGAAATTGTTTCAGTTTATGGAGAGGATGTAATGTCAAGACAGCATGTGACAAAATGGGTACGGAATATATTGTGAGACCACGAAGAAACTTCACAGAGCCATCAAAAACAAACGTTATGGGATGCTGATGGTGGGAGTCTGTCTCCTTCATGACAATGCGCGTTCACACATCACTCATGCTACTCATGCAATACAAGAGTTGTTGACTTCATTTGACTGGGATGTTTTAAGCCACCCCTCTCACAGCCCCAATCTTGCACCCAGTGACTATCATCTGTTCACTAAATTGAAGGAACACCTTGGTGGAAAACACTTTTCCGACAACGATGAGGTGAAAATCAAAGTAACGAACTGGCTGAAAAAGGCGGAGGGAAACTTCTAAGACACAGGCATCAAAAACTTGTCCCACAGATACTGAACTGAGTGGTGATTGTGTAGAAAAATAATGTATTACCTATACTACAATCCAGGTAAGTTTTATTAAAATATATTCATTCTTTGTATTTTCAAAATACAAAGATATCATCTGGAGAAGTCCTGCTCTCGATCCCCTTCGCAGGCGTGGTTGGTGGGGATGAGAGAAAAGGATTCTGGATCCATAACTTAAGTGGGGCATGGGATCAGCTCTGCCCACTCTGCAGAGGTGGTGCCCCATTTCACCATTTCCCCTACTGCAGGTATTCATATTTCCTCCATTTTTGTATGGGAATTGTGCCCCTAATCCTCATGAATGTGGAGGGATGACTACACATAGACCTTTATGAGTGCCCTGACACTCTTTTAGGAAAAAAAAATAAGGTAAAGCACAGTCTAATTCTACACTTCAAAGTCCAACTGAATTCAATGGAACTCTCTTCCTAATAAGTGTGGATAGGATCACATATTGAATGTTAAATGTTAGCATTACTTATTTAGATTATTCAGTTCCTTTTAAAAAAATGGAAAATAAATCCATCAATGAATACTAGGTAGGGAAATTAAGACTGCTTCCTTGTAAAGACATCAAATGGCAACCTTCTCTGCTCTGATTCATAGTTCTTTGTATGTATGCAGTTTAAATGGTACTACAAGCAGTTCAGTAATTATGTGCTTGCAAACTCTAAACAGAGGATGATGAAAGATAGAGTGCTTTCTTTTAGTTGAAATCTACTCACAGCTATGAGGGCCAAAAATGATAGTTGCACTCAAAGAACAGAATAGTAAAACCTTTGGAGTACATGCCTATCAACTTTTAAACTGTAGTTTGACCTTTGTGGCTCTTAGTAAAGATCTTAAAAGAGATAATGACTAAAATGCACTAGAAATGTTATTGGAGTCATACAGAATTTTTAAAATACAACATAGAAAATAGCCACTTTTGATTATCTAAGCTGTGCCATTCATTTCACTTCATAAATGACAATCTTTTCACAGGTTAGATAGACAGAGTGGATGGGGAGAAAGGCTGTGCATCAATTCCTTGTGAAATAACTGGTGGGTGGCAATGCTACTCCTTTATGATGTCACTGCTGCCATAGAGACCATGTGTGCACACAAGTGGGAATGACATCTGGCACCAGAAGAGCATGGAGAGTTGAGAGAGGAGGCAACATCTTCAGTCTGGCTGGGTCATCAAAGCAGCTCAACTGATAAAAGAACACCCTATACAGTCCTAGATCGGATTCTACTCCCAAACCTCAGAAGATGTCTCAGGAAGTGGACTGGTTGCACAGCCAAGCAGGCGTGTGTAAAGTAGATCTCTACAATCCTGAGGGAGGAAAAGATCAGGACCGCAAAGTGATTTGTTTTGTTGATGTCTCCAGCCTGAACATAAAGAACACCGACGATGATACGGGCAAAGATGCTGCTGGCCAGTCTAAAGGCAATGAATCTGTCACCGGACTCGATCTAGGGAAAATGCAGGACAAAGAGGTTATTGTAATAAAGGACAGCGATGCACCTGAACAGTCGAAGACAGAAGGAGCTGTCTGTTTGTTCAAACAAGGTTCAACTGAAGAACTCAATGTTGTGTCCTGGCTCTTTGACGATCTGCAAAAATACGCATGTGGATTCCAACATGCGCTTACCCCTTCACCGACCCCTCCTAAACCAAAGCCCTCAGCAGCTGACAAGATGTCTCAGAATAACAATAACACAGCTTTCAAGTCTTGCGAAGGTCAGAAAGCTGCAGATGAAGTAGCAAGTACTGTTCAAAAGCTGTGTACTTTGGTTATGCAAATGGCAAGTAAAGAGATCTCTGAAAATCTGGAAGATGCTGCCAGCAAATGTATCCGACAGGCAATCTATGCCACCAAAGATGGGAAACCTCTTCCCCCTAGTTGCGTAAGTAAGGTTGCTTCCAAAATGGTGAATGAGGCTATGGAAAGTGCCCAGGAGCCCAGTGCCAAATCATCTCAAGACAACATGGGCAAGAAGGATGAGAAAGGCTCTCCCAAGAAAACGTCTCTTTTTTACGGGGAAGTATGTTCCAACCAAAGTGAATCTATGCAGGATGATGATGTAAAGCCCACACATGCCCATTTGATACACCCAAGAAGGCAGTCAGCTCGCACCGAAGGCAGTTCTTTTAACAAAGGACTAATGGTTTATGCAAACAAAAATGCTAAAGATATGACATTTTCATTTGTGAATGCCACAAAGATCCACAAGAGACCACCACTCCCAGCTTGTGTGGTTTTGAAAAGAGTGTTTCTGAAACACACAAGAGATGTCATATCAGACTTAATTGACTCTACAATGAAAAATCTACATAATGTCACTGGGGTCCTTATGACAGACTCAGATTTTGTTACCACAGTGAAGAAAAATCTCTTCAACGCAGGAACCCAGAAGTCAACTGAGATTTTAGAAGCAATGGTACTACGGATGTATAATGCTTTGATGACAGAAACAAAGGAGAGAGGACACAGTCTTGTATATTCTTTACTGAAAACAGGATGTTCATTAGATGCTAATTCTCCAAATATGCATTTCGCATCTTTGAAAGGTGGAATACATACAAGAGAAAAAGTAAAGACAGACATGGGACAGACGTCAGCCCAGAAAGTAGGCGAGACAATAATTAAGGATGGAATTAGCATGCTGAGATCAAAAGCAGGAGGTGGCAAATGTCCAGACAGACCTCATGACAAGAGGCCAGAAAAGAGTAGCTCCACAACTGAGTTTCTTGCCAAGGACCTCATTTTGACAGCTTTAATGCTGATACAGCAACATTTGTTAACTCAATACAAAGAGCCGGTTCATGAGTCAAACACATCTTCATTTGGCTATTTCGAAAAGGGTGGCAAACATGGCTCTAAATCATCTCATAATTACAAAGGTGATCCACAACAACAAGAATATCAGAGAGGAGAAATACAAAGTGCTCTCCTATCGATCATCCAGAAAGTCCTACAAGAAGCTGGTTTCAGTGTAGATGAATGTGAAATAAGCAAGAATGTCAAACAGAGTACATATGACGACAGATCTACCAAGACAACAAAATCCAAGTATGGTTCAGATGTGGATTCTGAAAACATGGAACAAATAAACAAGAAATTCATTGATCAGCTGATGGAATCTGTGATGAAGCTGTGTATGTACATGACTAAGAGTCCCGATTTTGTTGTTGAAGATTTCTCTGACGAACAAGGCACATACTTTACTGCGAGAAACAGAGGTGTATCAAGCCCAGATTCAATGGCATGTCAGAAAACACGTTCTGGCAATATTGGAAAGCCACTTGTGCCTGTTGGTTCTGAGGTGATTGTGAACAACCAGACTGCCAATACCAGCTCACAGAACAAGGAACTCCAGGCTATCCTCCAGTGGATGGCTGCCTCCCACTTCCAAGTGCCCAATCTCACTTTCATGAATGAGAATGACGAGGAGCTGAAGAAGCTTCCTCAACTGGCCGACAAAGCCGCTAAGAAGGGTGCAAGTGTGGGGGATATTTTGCAGGAGGTAATGAGGTATTTTGAGAAACAACAGGTTGACGCCGCTGTGGGAAACATGCCTCGTAGCGGACTTCTTGACTGGTTGCTTGCTAATCTGTAGACAAGTGCCAACACCTCCCTCTCATTACTTCCACCCAGCGAAGTGCAATCTTAATTACTCAATGGAATAACAATACAGCTCATTTTCCATAGACAACAGTTCATCAAATTCCACAAGCTGTTACACACTAGCTGGGCAAAAGCACCAATAAAAAAATACAAATCTCCAGTGGTTATTGTTTTTTTTTTAATTAATGTTTATGCACATTCGTGGGTAATAAGGAACAATGAAACAAAGCTAAAAGCATTTTTATTGGGTTGTTATGAATTCTGTTAATAGAACATCCCCATTGTTCGATCTTCATCATCTGCCTCTGGCAATGAGGAATGAAGACACTGTTGTTGTTTGGTGCCTTCAAGTGACTTCTTATTTATGGCTACCTTAAAGAGAATCTTATCACATGGTTTTCTTGGCAAGACTTGTTCAGAAGGGAGTTGTCTTTGCCTCTCTCTTGGGCTGACAGAGTGACTTCCCTAAGATCATCCAGTAGGTTTCCACCATTGCTGAGTGGGATTCAAAATTTTGGCCTCCCAGTTGCTAGTCCAACACCGAACTGGACCTCTAAATGCTCATTACAATTTGCCTTCAAAACTGAGTTAAGATCCCCTTTTCCCTTCTTTGATCCACCAACTTCAGAAAATCATTCATGGTTGAGCAATAGTCTAAATGACACTGCATTTATTCTTGCACATCTATGTTCATTTTCCTATGAACCGAAACCTATATAACTTTTAACATCCATAATTTTGCAGTGGTATTTATTAGTAATGCAAAAGAAAAGAGGATAAATATTTAGACCCACAGGATGGACTATACTGATGCGTGTGTTTTAAGACTGTGATTGCTCTCCACTTCCATGATTCTTATAAATGACTCCAAACACCCTTCATGTAATAGGTTTGTTTAACTATTGTAACTTATTCTACCAACCAATGTTCATGCTTGTAGCTACATTTTTGTAATCATATGATTTGGGGGGGGGGGGGGGCTCGAAGAGGTTTACTATTGCCATCCTCTGATGCTGAGATGGTGGGAACTATTAAGGAACTCCCACTGGGTTACATGGCAGAGCAAGCATTCAAAGTCTGGTCTTCAGTGTCTTTGCACAAGGCTTAAACCACTAGACTACACTGGCTCTCCATGTTGTTATTGTTGAGTTCAAGACATTTCTGATGAAGACCAATCCTAAGGAAACAATTACAGTGTTTCTTGGAAATTCTGTTCAGAAGAGGTTATCCATTGCCTTCCTCTAAGGCTGAGCGAGTGTGACCTCAGTCCCTCAGTAAGTTTCATGGCTAAGTAAGCATTCAAACCCTGATCTCTAAAGTCACAGTCCAATGCTCAAACAGCTTTACCATGCTGGCTCTCTATTTACATTTGTTATTGCTTTGTTAGGCAAGAAAGAAATGTCACACACACGATCAACTATAGAGTGTCAGTGTTCCTTGTATGCCTTACGACAACTGTAAACTTGCAGCTGTCTTTAAGATGAAGTGGCATTCCTACACACAACACCTACATCTCAGCTCCTTTTTTCAAACTCTACCTTCTGAGAATAGCCAACATCCAATGGTGGCCTGCTGTATCCAATAGTAAGTCCATCTATTAATGGAATTTCCTCCAGCTGCAGGCAAGAAGTTGCTCAATAGAGTTTCTCAGTGTTGTGAAAAAGGTTCTTAGGATGCAAGGAATGTTTGTAGAAGGAAGAGGAGATAACCAAAAAAACCATTAATATCCAGCAGAAATACACAATTGATCCTGTGCTCTGAGTAACTGTAATACTCTATATATGTAGTCTGAACGCAATTGCATTAGATTACACACAGATCACAGATTTCACAACTGTTCTAACATTACTCATATCTGCTCCAATGAAAGAAGCCGGATTTTTTCCTAGTTTTTTAAAGCGTTGTTGATTGCATCCAGCTGTTTCTACATCCCAATATTTCTTCTAAAGGAAAGAGACACCACATGATATCACTGTAATTCGCAGTATGGGTTCCACAATATCAAAATGGTATATCAAAAAGAAATAGCAGGAAGCATATCCATGAAATGCTGAATGTCTCCGCTGTGAGCAACAAACCCTTCATTGTTTTGTCTTTACAGTGAATGTCACATTTCTTTCAAAGTCTAGCTCTTAGGCTTAAAGAAATTATATTTTACAATTTAAAATATACTTGTGTCTTTTAAAAACATATTCAAATGTAACAACTTGGAATAGAAATGTTCATAACAGATGTAAAAAAAAAGAGGCGCAATAGCCAACAAACTAAGAATTGTGTTAGTAATAATTTCAGGTATCATTATGCCTATTTTTTCAGGTGCTATTCACAGGCAACCACCTTGTATTTCAGAAAAGAACTAGGCTAAACACTTCTAGACTTTGGTAAGATTCTATGGTATCTGGAAAATGTTGAAGTTTTAAAATGAGAACTCTGGCTTTTTGTGAAAGACGATTTTATTTTAGACACACAAAAGCACATTTAGTGAAAATACTTAGAACAACAAAGCGCTGCAAACACAAAGTGTAGAACTGCAAATCAAGTCTCCGTGAAATGAATACACACGCACACACTCCAAGTGAGCTCACCTGAGTAGCTGCAGACTGACAGGGAAACGAAGATGATGATGACACAACAGGAATGTCAGACTGGACAGCCGCCACAGTGGTAGCAGGTGTAAAAATCAGCTGTGGAAGCAGTAAAAAGAAATCTGAAAGACCAACTGGACCACAGGTGCATGCACACAGCTATCTGATTTTTTTCATATACAAGCACCTTTTCCATCTTTCTCTCCTCACCAGCAAAAACAATTCAATTAAGTATCCCTCTTGGATTTGTATTTAGAAGCAATTAAGAAGAAAATGAACCAACTCAGCCGACTTGAACATGAGAGACACCCTACTTACGACAACTTTATTACAGAAAGATAATATATAAAGAACAAGCAATTCCAGTTTCAGCAGCCTGAGAAAAAGTTGCTGCTATGAAATAAGTTTTATTACTGTTTTTACTGTCATAGGGATGAGCAGGTTTGACAACCGAAACCAAACTGTCTTGACTTTATTAACAATACAGCAGAGAAAAGTTCAGAAGTGGTTTTGCACCCAGCACTTCAGTAGTATTGAGCTTTACTTGCAGTACCTCTATATGACTCAGAGTAAGGACAGATAAGTAACAACTTTCAAAACTACGGATAGTGAGAGTATTACTGATGTCCAAGAGCACGATTGGCTTGTACTAATTATTTGTAACAGGGCCAATTAGTTCCTGCACCATGCTACATGAGCACCACTTCAAGTTTTTTCTTTTGAGTTGCAGGCAGATTAGTTGACCCTTCATCTACAATAAGGACCATGAGTCCCTTTATGATCACCTGAGATCTTCAAGACAGCCCCTTCTCTCTTCCTTCTACCTTCTTAGGCTCTTAATGGCTGCTACCATGCTTTGGTCCTCTCTCCTTAAGGAGGCTAGGACAGCTCCCTCCTTTCTCTTCTTCTCATACATTAGTTCAAAAACTCAGAAATTTCACACCTGAAGTCATTGTGCAGCACCCTGAAAATACGTCTTGATATATATTTGATCAGAAAAACAGCACAGCTTTATAAATCACATAAAATCATCCTGCAAAGCATTACAGGAGATTAATCACACAATTTAAAAATAAAATTACAGATAAAATCTAAATAAAAACACCTTTACCTCTTTTCCCCCAAATTTTACTCCAACTCATCCCAAGAAGATGGTGAAGTTAATGGGAAGGAATGCAGATTTCCATCCCACAGCCTTGCACTGACATACTGTGACTCCATTCCCACAAAAATCAGTTTCCCTGCAAATGAATTAGTCTAGGATTGCTTCTATTCCTTGAAGTATTAGCCAGCAGGTCAAATTTGAGCAGCTAAGTCTTCTCATGAACTCTGCTGAAGCCCCACAAAAGCTGCCACCTACTTCTTAATTTTGGAAATGACAAGAGGAGAGCAAAGTTCATTCGTCATCTCAGGACAGCTAGAGAAAACTGGAAATGCACTTTTTAAAGGCTTTCCCTTCCTTTCTCAGTAGAAAAGGCGAGAGTCGCTTGTATATCAAGAGTCATTTCAAGGCCCTTGGAGAATCCCAAGGCAGAAGTTCCCAAAAAGGTACTACTCCCTTTGATACTGCTATTTCCTGAGCAAGTGATTATTGCGTTTGTGTATGTATAGCGGGGGAAATTAGGAAAGCGGAAACAAAGAGAGAATTCATCCATAGGGAGTTGCCCCCTCAAAGCAGCCTGAGGATTTTAATGAAGTAGCTACATATACAGTACAAGATGCTTGCCTCTCCACTTAGGTTAGCTGTTGGGAAGGCAAGGAAGATATAGCTGCTGATGGAGGAATTTATTTATTTATCATGTCAGGAGCAAACCAAAAAGTTGTATTGCATTTTTAACAAACAAACAAACAAAACACAAAGTTTGCAAGCTTGGTAGTTGATTAAATGTCCTTTGACCAGGAGCTGGCCACTTGGGGTGCCTCTGGTGTTACTATAAGAAGATGAAGGAAGAAAGCATTCTTATCTGACAAAGCCAACTCATCTGATCTTCTCACCACTGAAGATAGGACTCCCCTTGCCCCCTTCCCAGTACAACAATGACATTCTGCTGATTTGGCTCTATACAACACTGTAATCTGGTTCTTCAAAGGATAATGCAGAAATATGTTTTGGTTTTTGGGTTGAAAAAGTTTAATCTAATCTCTCCTACCTCAACTGGATCAGAGAAAGCCAAAACAGAATTCTTTTATTGAACCATTTAAGGTAGTACATATGATCATCGCCAGATCTTCAAGACCAGAAAAGAAACCAAACACTCTGAACAGCTGAAGACTTTTTACACAATATTACTGATGAATGGTACACATGACCTTCAAAGATTTCCATAACAGACAATTAGACCTCCATACTCATTTTAAGTCTCTCACCCATGACCAACTAGATTTGAAGAAGCATTATCATGGAAAGGAACATGGTATTTTAATACACTATGTAAGACAGAGTTCATTCTTTTAGGATCAAAGAAAAGATTCTAAAAATACACAGTCCAACAGCAGCAGTGGTTCTCAACCTCTGGATCCCCAGGTGTTTGGGCCTACAACTCCTAGAAATCCCAGCCAGTTTACCACCTGTTAGGATATCTGGGAGTTGAAGGCCAAAACATCTGGGGACCCACAAGTTGAGAACTACTGAACAACAGCAATATCACAAAACATGTAGGATGTAGACAAAAGGGATGTTTGTCATTCTTCTCTCTAGGAATGACCAGACCACTCAATTACTCTTTTCTCTCTAACAAGGATAGGAATTGTGTTGCCATGAAAACTACACTACTAACAGAAGAACTAGACTGACTGGAGCCACAGACTAATAACACTGGAGAAAAAGATACTCCCCCATCCCTGACACAGAAGCTAGAAAACGCTTGCTATTCAGGATTACTTTGCAATGCTTATAAAATTACAGGATCACCCTTATTGCAAGACCTACACATCAAACTGAATAGATTTAGCTGATTGTACTAGCCTGATGCACCTCTGTATTTGCTATCAAAAAGAAATCACTTTAAGTCATACCGTTCAGAATGTACCAACACTGAGCATGAAAAAAACAATTTAACAGATGCATCTTAATGTAGCACAAATCTGCTACCCTGAACATCCTGTCTTCAGTCATGATAGCCAGGCTACATTATACCTCTCCCACTCCAAAATTAACCAGAAATTGTTGTCTACTATAAAACGTGGACTTAAGGCAAACTCAAGAAATATTTGTTTACTACTTTCTAGCAAGAAATACATTACATTAAGGGGTTCAAAACGGTAATGTTAATTTATCCCAAGGAGCATATAGGCGACTCTTGAACTATTTGCACATAACAGTTCTTCATATTTGGACTAAAAGCGTTATTAAGTCTTGGTAAGGCTGAAATAGTCAAAGAGGCAAATACTGGAAAGAACATAACAGAATGATTGGGGGGAAAGGGAAGACATATCTCCAAGCACTTGATATTTTTTAAAAATATTATTTTGAAACAAACCCAACAATTGTAGGGTATGTAGAAATTTCAAAGGCATTTTAAGATACACCTTTCCTTTTTTCTGTAGAGATTGAAATACCATCTTTAAGCAAGGAACATGGTCATTTACGTATATAGTGTGTCCTTTCTCTACTGCCACAGAAATGGACTGTAGATTAATTTTACATGTGGCTTCTCTCCTAATCAGCGAAAACTTTCAAAACTCTAGCTGTTGAGTGCATTTGATAATATGTGAAAACAGTTTTGCTTACACAAATCTGGACATTCAGTTCCAGTCAAAACCCCCAACACACCTAAGTCCCCTGTCCTCAACCCACTCAGCCCCATAAGTTGCTCCCAATTATTTTGGGAGGAATCCTTTGGAATAGAATGGAAATAATGCAAAAGCTGTAACGGATCAAGTGGTGCAAGTAATTTACGCTATAGCAAAGTCACAAATGGACACAACCTATGTATTTTATTCATATCCTATGTACCAATATTACTTCTCTTTCTCTAATCCTCGATATAATCTGTGCCAAAATGCAGAAGGACATCTAATGCACTTTATTTTACCTGCTAGTGCAATTAAACCCTACATTCGTCCCCCGGATCCCCCGTCCAGATACATTACATTGCTCTCTAACCCAGTTTTTAAACTTTTAAACTTTGCAACCGGCCCACTGTGACCAATTTTTTTGTGTTCAATTATGCGATTTTATATTGTTTGTTATGATTATTTATATTGTTTCTTGTATTTTATTTTTTTTCTTTATATTTTACTGCTGTATTCCTATGTTGCATATTTATATTACTGTATTGTTGGGCTTGGCCTCATGTAAGCCGCCCTGAGTCCCCTTGGAGAGATGGTGGTGGGGTATAAATAAAGTTTTATTTATTTATTTATTTATTTATTACGTAAATGACTGTAAGAAAATATTCAACAAGAATAGTGGAAGACTGTTTAAATCAAACCAATGAGAAAACAAAATACATGCAATATCTTAAGGGGTTTCAAAACAGAACATAAAGCTATAGTTCTCTTATTTTAAATCAAACCATTCTCATTTTTATATGCCTTCAAATGGACTCTGACTCACGGCAACCCATCCAAGGGTTTTCTTCACAAAATTTGTGAAAAGGAGATTTACCATTGTTGCCTTCCTCTTTTGCTGGGAGGGCATCATGGACAATTGGGAATTTGAACCCTGTTCACTCAAACCATGACACCATACAGGAAACTGAAGGGGGGAATGTCTTTTTCAATTACTACAGCAATTGACAAAACCTGTTAGGAACACTGCTACAAAAGACACCAACATTTGAAATCTAAATATTTCAGCCACAAAAATATTGGAATGTCCAACTACACATTCTTTGTTGGAAATTCAATGGAGCAAAGGAAGGGAACCATTAGCTGAAGAAACCAAATAATTAATTTCACCAGTTCTTTGAAAAAAATTTAAATTTTCTAATGAGACTTACCATTTGAGCTCGGAGGTACATTTGAGCCTGGCTGGCAGTCAAAGTAGGAGAGGTGCTCCCTAGCAGCATTGTCTGTTGGGTAAGACTGCTGCTACTGGTGTTGGAGGCCTGCGATCGGCTTATTAGCTGAGCAGGCGTCGGCGAAGTTGAAAGATTAATCTAAAGAAAGAAAGTATGTATTTATACCATGAAGTTCATTGATCACAGTATCCAAATGACAGGATACAATCCGATACAATCCTATATTGTTCTGAGTTCCAGTGAAAACTGGTACCTTCACATATGCAGTTTTGACTTTTGCAGATTTGATTATTCATGGATTTGATTAACAATATTCACTCTAGAAATCTGTAGGTCCTCTGTTCCTTACTTACTTAGGCGATCTCTCATTGTCCAAGTAAGATTGTCCTCCAAGTTCAGTATCCTGGTGGTGGGTACATAGGTGACTGTGGAGCCCTGTTCTTGACTTGCATGTTCTCCCACAGGGCATTGGTTTCCAGGTGGAAAGCAGTTCCGGTCGGGGTTGGCTTGATGCGCCTTCCCCTTAGCACATTTATCTCTTTCACTCTCCATTTGTGCCTCTTCAAATTCTACAGCATTGCTGGTCACAGCTAACTTCCAGCTAGAGCGTTCAAGGACCAGGGCTTCCCAGTTCTCGGTGTCTATGCCACAGTTTTTAAGGTTGGCTTTGAGTCCATCTTTAAATCTCTTTTCCTGTCCTCCGATATTCTGTTTTCCGTTCTTGAGTTCAGAATAAAGCAACAGCTTTGGGAGACAGTGGCTGGTCCAGCGGAGTTGATGGCGGAAGATCATCGCTTCAATGCTGGTGGTCTTTGCTTTTTCCAGCACGCTGACATTTGTCTTCCTATCTTCGCAAGAGATCTGCAGGATTTTTCGGAGGCAATGCTGATGGAATCGTTCCAGGAGTTGCATGTGACGTCTGTAGATACTCCACGTTTCGCAGGCATATAGGAGGGTTGGGAGGACAATAGCTTTATAAACAAGCACCTTGGTATCCTTACGGATGTCCTGGTCCTTGAACACTCTGCTTAATTTGGAAAAATGCTGCGCTCGCTGAGCTCAGGCGGTGTTGTATTTCAGTGTCAATGTTGATTTTTGTGGAGGTGGCTGCCAAGGTAGCAGAAATGGTCAACATTTTCTAATGTTACACCATTAAGCTGTATTTCTGGCATTGGAGAGGTATTGGCTGGTGACTGCTGGAAGAGCACTTTGGTTTCCTCGATGTTCAATGACAGGCCGAGCTTCTCGTATGCTTCTGCGAAGGTGTTTAGAGTAGCTTGTAGGTCTTCTGAATGCACACAGGCGACATTGTCATCAGCATATTGCAATTCTATAACAGATGTTGTTGTAACCTTGGTTTTGGCTTTCAGTCTGCTGAGATTAAATACCATGCCATCTGTCCAAGCTATTTGGTTGACTGCATTCCCTTGTAGAAACCTGCCCCGGCCCTGAAATCTTCGGGAGAGGCCCTTCTCTCAGACCCACATCCATTTCAAGCTTGGTTGGTGGGAACGAGAGAGGGGGCCTTCTCAGTGACTGCCCCTTGACACTGGAACTTCCTGCCCAGGGAAGCCAGAATGGCCCTCCTCCCTGCTGTCCTTCAGGTGGCATGTTAAAACCTTTTTAGTCAGACAGGCTTTTAAAGAAGAAAGTTTTAAAGATCAATTCCTGGGGTGCTGTGGTTTTAACTTTGAATATGCACTGAATATGTTTGAATGGTTTTTAACTGTGATTTTTTAATATTGCTTATATCTACCTGTAATTCTGTTTTAATGTTTGTATATTTTAAATTGTGTACTAATGCTTTTATGCTAAGTCGCTCTGAATCCCCTTTGGGAAAGCTAAAATGGGGCATAAATAAATATAATCATCATCACCATTATCATCTATGGTTAGCTTCCAGCAGAAGTTGATCACACAGTCATGCTGGAAGGCATAAAAATGTATAGAGGTGTTCTCTCAGGGGAAAATAATAGCAATTTCTTAAGTTGTGGTTTTTAACTTTCACCGGGGGGTGGGGGTGGGGGGGTTGTCTGTGCGCCAAAAAACAACGAATGTGGAGAACTGGCTGTATTATTGCCCCAAAATCTGCTTGGTTGTGTTACTTTCTACAGTTTGATAAAATCCCAGAACCTCAGCTTTCAAAATTAGACTGCTGCCAGTATCTTTGGTCACCTTCTTGGACACCAGTTTACATTTTCTTAACCATGGTCAATGGATGTTAAAATATATTTTAAAGTTTAAATGTGTATATAAAATAGTCATTAATTGTGATATAATCAACCTGTGATACCCACTGATAAGTTTCATTTTAATTCTAGAGTTTAAAGAATTTGATTGTAGCCGAATGTTCAGAAGCCTTCCCTTCTGTGAAGTACTGTGATGCTTTGTTTAAACCGCAGTCACCAGAGTTGACTGGTAACTGGATTCTATGTTAATTAAACTATTAAAACTGAGGTTCTTGCCGCTTTTTGGAGGAATTTTTTTCTAAGGCATTTAATAAAACTCACATCTAAATGTCTCTCAAAATGATACAGACTTTTTTGCTAATGCAAAACATTTTAGTGTCAGGGATTTAGTCTCAATGGCAGGATTTATCCAGGTTTTATCCAACGTGCTTCAAATGAAGGCAAATATTTATTTATTTATTTCTCACATTTCTATCCCGTCCTTCTCAACCCCCAAAGGGGGACTCAGGACGGCTTACAATGGGCCCCATTCCGAAGCCATTACATAACAAATTACAAAATTAAAACCACAATTAGACATAAAAGCATAATTAACCATACATAAGCCATCGTTAAAACAGTAAAACAGTCTCATCAGCCATATCGTCATTCCAGTCACATTCCCTTAAAGTGCTGCTTGCATCTATTGTCCAAAAGCCTGGTCCCAATACCATACCTTTAGTTTCTTTTGAAAAACTAGGAGGGAGGTGGCCAATCTTACCTCAGTTGGGAGTATGTTCCATAGGCGAGGGGCCACTGCCAAGAAGGCCCTGTCTCTCGTCCCCGCCAGGAGCATTTGTGCTGTTGATGGAAGCGAGAGCAAGGCCTCCCCGGATGATCTTAGGTTTCGAGGTGAGACACAGGGGTGGATGCGTTCGGACAAGTAAGCTGGGTCAGAACCGTATAGAGCTTTATAGGTCAAAACCAGCAATTTGAATTAAGAATTGAAAATTCTGCTCCTGCAGGAGTTCTTTGCACAGAATATATTGAAACATGAATATTGGGCTCCTTATACAAAGAATGAGCATGGTAAATAATAGAAGGCGGAACAAGAAAAAAGACTTTAGAAACTCACCGAAGTTTCTGACATGCTTGACTGCTGAGTGACGCTGCCATTGGGGGATGAACACTGCCTTCCACCTGACAGGTTTGCCTAAATAGCAAGTACATCAGTCAAATGTGTCATTTATGCTGCAATAAACAGGGTCTGAACATGATAAACTCAACATCTTGCTCAGTAACATCAGCTAGGCAGCCCAGTGGCCGTAAGAAATCCAGAATGGCTTTGTCCATGGCCTTCAGACCTTTCAAACTTGCAGTCAATCCTTTTATCCTTATTTATGGCATGTTTGCACAGTTAAGAAGATTCAGAAGCTATTATCTTGAGCTAACAACCTGTTTACACCAGTAACAAATTCCACTGCACCCTATGGAACAGATTTAGTGTCAAACACAAAAAACAGAATTTGCTTTATTAAAGCTATATGGTGCTAATATTTGATTGATAATCTTGGCCTATATATGCAAGACAGGCCCGTTAAGAAATCTCTGATCAAGTTGAGGACTTTCTATTCTTTTCCAGCTTCTGACAGCCTCCTTGGATGTATAGAACAACACTCATGTATTTTTGGGCCCTTCCACACAGCCATATAACCCAGAATATCAGGGCAGAAAATCTCACAATATCTGCTTCAAACTGGGTTATCTGAGTCCACACTGCCATATATTCCAATTCAAAGCAGATAATGTGGGATTTTATTTAGCTGTGTAGAAGGGGCCTTCATTGCTCCAAAGTATTCTGATATTCTTCCCTCCAACCTATTCTCAGTCAGTTTGTGGAGGAAAAAAAATAATACTATATAATACTAATAATAACACAATATAATAATTATAGATTATATATTACATGTAATATCACTAATAACATTGCAGTATGATGATATAGTACAATATAGTAATATATAATACTAATATTGTGCTATGCTAATAATATAATATATTGTATGTACATATAACTTGTAAGATGCTCTGAGTCCCCTCCGGGGTGAAAAGGGCGGGATATAAATGTCATAAATGAAATAAATAAATAAATAACCCCTTCTCTATCATTTCAAAACTATAAAAGTTAATCAAATGTATTATTCAAATGTTAACTAAAAAGCTATAAATAGTAAATTGATTACTGTTCTCATGAATAGTGGACTTTACAAGTAATATTTTAACTGAAAATTGTGTTTTATCTATCATGCAAGCATTTTCTTTGATATTAATGTTTTATATTATTTTAATTAATGCAAGTTGCCTTGAGTAATACATACATACACAAAACAGTTTCTGTCTCTTACTTTCACACTTCTATTGTTTTGCTTTGTTAAACTTTGTAACTCCCGCAGAAATATTTACACATACAGTGGCACAGAAATGCATTAAACAAACAGACAAGCACTGATGTTAGAGAATGGCCACAGTTAAGAATACAGCATGAGATTGAAACTGACGGTATGAATTATGAAATTGATTAGAAGCTGAGCAGCAAGTCAGGCTCATGATTCTTAGCTATCATGCTAATTAGATTGAAAGCTAAATTGCCTCAGGTTCTTGTTCCCTAATGGAAAAGTATTTCCTCTGCTTTACAGTAACAAAAAATACATTTTTGGACTGATAGGTATTTTTGTGTATGTTTCGGTATATGTACTTGTATGTGTGTGTGTGTACATATATACACACTTCAGCTCCACAGCAAGATACCAATTCACAACTTGATTATCTATAAGTACCCATCAATAGTGCAGCTTCATTGCAATATTAAAGAAAGTGGTGTCATTATGCAGGGCCGGGCTTTAGCATAGCAGGTTAATAACCAGCTGCAGTAAATCTTGCCAACTGAAAGGCTGACAGTATGAGCTCTTGACCTTCAGCCCAGCTCCCCGACCACCTAGCAGATTGAAAACAACAATGTGAGTAAATAAATAAATAAATAACGTGAGTAATAAATAAATAAATAAATAAATAGGAACCCCATTAAAGTAGAGAGGTATTTAAGGCATGATGTTTTGATTGGAAAAAATAGGAAGTTTACGAACAAAGAAAGTTCTTTGGCAAGGAGATGGAGTGACAACACCCTCTGTGGCCGGAATCAAGCACAGCCTCCAAATATGCTAAAAGATTGGAAAAGCCTATATATATACACCTCTATCTGTTGTCTGTCTTGTCATTGTATAAGTGGCATTGGATGTTTGCCGTATATGTGTTCTGTGATCCGCCCTGAGTCCCCCCTGGGGTGAGAAGGGCGGAATATAAATACTGTAAATAAATTACATAGGAAATCTTGTAACCACTTTGAAGTCCAGGTGATGATAACACAAACTGCAAAGCACCGACTGTATTCGGGGCTTTCTTTCCTATACCTCCATTTGAGTTTGTTGTCTAGCCACTGCAGTTTAAAGCTTGCGTTGAACTGCATTAAATGCTCAGTGTATATGGGGCCTAAGAGGAATGGGGTAAACATTATCTAAATAGAGAAACACCCTCTTGCCAAGTTGACCTTATCCTTATGCTATCTCTCAGGAAACTGATGATCAATTCTAGGGGTTAAAAAGGGGAGACTGGAAGCCACTATATTAAGGCCAAACTCCTATTGTATGTTTATGTTCTGTGGCAATAAATTCAAAGATGAATATTTTCTAATCTTTCCCAGTCTCACCTGTGGTACGCTGGCCAGACTCTGGAACTGAGTGCTGCTTAAATGCTGCTGTTGTAAAGCAGCTGTTTGTAACATTAAATGCTGCTGCTGAGCTGCATACATCTGCTGGAGATACTGAGCTGCAGAGCTAGGGGGACGGTGCAAGGCTTGCTGAATAACCTGTGGGTTTTTAAGTACATTGTTATAGTGGCACAACATAGTTTTTTTTAAAATGCTACCACATCAACCAACCAATTATTAATACTTTATTTTCAATGAATCACATCATTAGTACTTCCATGAATGACTTTTGAACACAGGCTTTTACATCCTAAGTATTTACTGGGAACGTACGGATGGGAGATATGAATCAACAGCCCAACTTTGTAGCCAGTCATAAATCACTCCTAAGCCTGGGCAATGCAGTCAGATTCTTTCCACAGAAAGTCCACTCCTTAGGACTCAATATACATAGCACCATCAACAAAGTTATATCATATTCTTCTACTACATATAAGTAATATTGTACAAGACCACTCTCAACAAAGAAAATCACATAATTAGTATGCTCATGGTTCATCTTAAAAAAGGAATTACCTATTTTTAAATACATTATTCTTCAAAGAACTAGCTTCTAGGAAGTACAAAACATTTGGAAATGAACAAGGAAAAAACAAACACTGGAGGCAGGATCGTGAAGGAATCACTCACTATGTGTTGTTGTTATATTTGGAGAGAAAAGAATTGGGAAGCAAAACTACAGATACTCATCAAGACAGTCCCTTAAGGAAAGTCCAAAGAGAAAGGCCACAGTGTTCATCCATATTTATCCATTCATGTGTGCATGAGAGACATTAATATAAACATATGTAATATTTGCAAAAGCAACAGCACATGCCGTAACACCCCACTTATGAGGATTAGTGAACAGTCATACAATAGTAAAACAGCTAAAGGCAGTGCGGCGCTTAGGATGGTTGGGCTTTGACTGCAGAGACCTGAGATTGGATGAGAAACGAAAGGGCAGAACATGTTCACAAACAGTGCAGGGTGAACACCTTTATATTTATTTGCAGTTTCTTTTTCAAACATCAGGAGGAAATTCTTTATATCTTATGTGAAAAAGATCTAGGAGTCCTCGTGGACAACAAGTTAAACATGAGCCAACAATGTCATACGGCAGCTAAAAAAGCCAATGGGATTTTGGAATGCATCAAAATGAGTCTAGTGTCTACATCAATGGAAGTCATGCTACCCCTCTATTCTGCCTTGGTCAGACCACACCTGGAATACTATGTCCAATTCTGGGCACCACAATTGAAGGAAGATGTTGACAAGCTGGAATGTGTCCAGAGGAGGGTGACTAAAATGATTAAGGGTCTGGAGAACAAGCCCTATGAGGAGTGGCTTAAGGAGCTGGGCATGTATAGCTTACAGAAGAGAAGGCTAAGAGGAGACATGACAGTCATGTATAAAGATGTGAGGGAAAATCATAGGCAGAAGGGAACAGGCTTGTTTTCTGCTGCCCTGGAGACTACGACGTGGAACAATAGCTTCAAACTACAGTAAAGGAGATTCCACCTAAACATTAGGAAGAACTTCCTAATGGTGAGAGCTGTTCAGCAGTGGAACTCTCTGCCCTGGACTGAGGTGGAGCTTTCTTTTTTGGACACTTTTAAGCAGAGGCTGGATGGACATCTGTGGGGATGCTTTGAATGCGATTTTCCTGCTTCTTGGCAGGGGGTTGGATTGGATGGCCCACAAAGTCTCTTCCAACTCTGTGATTCTATGATTCAATGTCAACAAACAGGTTCTAGAGGTTTTCATCTCAAGTATAGAAGCAGGTCTTTGGTGAAGACAATGGGACTTCATTCCCATTTAAGATTGCCCCCCCCCAAAGAACTTTGCATTACAACAGGAATTGCTCAAAATTAACTGCTCTTGGGAAAAATCATTTTCTTGAAACTAATATGTGGATTGCAGCTAATGTCAGAGGGAACACAGCATCTATGGAAACTGGCAAATAATATTACCGTATTTCATTTGATATAAGATGCAAAGTAATTTCAGTAACATCAACAGAAAAAAGCTATACATATATAGAGAGAAATAGAGAATATATTTATATATAGTGTGATTCTGAGTTTTAAGAGGTGTTTATATGGGGAAGAAAAACATGCATTAGAATTGAAGAAATACAGCATTATCACTGCCATCATTTGGATTCTGCAAGCCTTTGCGCTTCATTATATTGGCAAAGTAGAGAAAACAGAGAGATAATAAGCTAAAAAAACAGGGAAAGGAAGATTTAAAAAAATAAGGACAAAGGGGGCACAGAAAAAGAAGTATAACATAACGAGCTACTGCAGACAGAAGCAGGTAGTTAGGTGTCAGCTCCATTTTTTGGTTTTCCCTGGTTAGATCTGAAGATGCTGCTGGTGAATTTCGCAATGCAGAAATGGTTATGGCGACAAATGTTATCTGCAAATAACATTTCTTCCTGCTTGAAATATTAACTGTATAGTACTCAAACGCCTGCAATCCCTGTCGATTCTCAGCAATTATGTACATAGCTATACATCAAGTATAAAAATACCTGTACAGCATGTCGATCTGACCCACTATAAACAGATATCTGAGGAGGTTGTGTACGGGAAGGGGAAGACGTGGTGGCTATGGTTGTTGTGCCTGTGGAAGATGTGGTTGTGCTTGGTTCATTCTCCATAGCTGTGGAAGGATTGGTCCACCTGATGAGAAACAAGTACAGACAGATATGATTTAAATGCTTCTTTCAAAAATGCATGTACAACTTAAATGCTTCATTTCATGATCAAGTTCTTTCAAAAGGTTATTCTGTGCCAAAAAAATCATTGAGTGATTTTGTGTGAATTTCATTAGTATGGAGGATATTGGCGCAGGAGAACCAATTTAATGCTCTTGCCTATATATTGATTCAATATTGTAGCAAGAATTGCTGGTTTAGGAAGCCATTCAGGGCCCTTCCACACAGCCCTATATCCCAGGAAAAATTAAGGCAGAAAAATCGCACAATATCTGCTTTGAACTGGGTTATCTGAGTCCACACTGCTATATAACCCAGGGCCCTTCCACACACTCCTATATCTCAAAATATCATGGCAGAAAATGCCACATTATCTGACTGAAGACACAGATAACCCAGTTCAAAGCAGATATTGTGGGATTTTTTGCCTTGACATTCTAGGATATAGGGATGTGTGGAAAGGCCCTCAGATAACCAGGGTCCTTCCACACAGCCCTCTATCCCAGAATATCAAGGCAGATTTTATTCAACTGCATGAAAGGGGACTCAGTAGCGAAGAGCCTTTCCACACAGCCATATAATCCAGAATATCAAGGATGATAATCCTCAATATATGCTTTTAACTGGGTTATTTGAGTCCACACTGTCATATAATTCAGTTCAATGCAGATTTTATACAGCTATGTGGATGGGGTTTTAGTCCCAACTAGACTAGGCCCATTGAATCAGTGGGATTTGTATTAGTCCTGTTTTAACCACTCCATATTTTAATGAATTTTAGCTGTTCCGTTTTTTATTATGTTGGTAAATGTGTATAACATGATATGTTTATTTAAGTCAGGGGTCCTCAAACTAAGGCCTGAGGGCTGGATACGGCCCTCCAAGGTCATTTACCCAGCCCTCGCTCAGGGCAAACCTGTCTGAAACGACTTGAAAGCACACAACAACAACTACGGTGATCCAGGCTACGGTCATCTCAAGACTGGACTACTGTAACGCCCTCTACATTGGCCTTCCTCTGTCGGTGATGCGGAAGCTCAAGTTGGTACAAAATGCAGCTGCTCGGTTTCTTGCGGGAATTCCGATGAGATGCCACATAACACCAATCTTACTGCAGCTGCATTGGTTACCAATTGAGCACCGGATCACTTTCAAAGTGATGGTACTCACCTTTAAGGCCTTGCATGGTCTGGGGCCGATGTACCTGAGGGACCGCCTCACCCCCTACCAACCCCAGAGATCCCTCCGTTCTGAGGACCAAGATCTATTGGAAGTCCCCAGTGTCAAGACCTTGCGTCTAACAGCAACCAGACGCAGAGCCTTCACAGCAGTGGCACCATCACTCTGGAATACTCTGCCACCTGAAGTCCGTGCCTTGCGGGACTATCAGCTTTCCGCAGGGCATGTAAGACATGTCTGTTTCAACAGGCCTTTGATCTCTGACATTGTTGTTTTAAATTGTTTTTAAATTGTTTTAAATTGTTTTTAAATTGTGTTAGATTTTAGCCTGTTCTTGTAAGCCGCTCCGAACCCCGAGGATTGGTGGCATATAAGTTTGAATTATAAATATAAATATAAATAAATAAATAAATAAAACAAACTTATCTCAACAGCCAAAAGCAGGCCCACACTTCCCACTGAAATACTAATGTGTATATTTGCTAAAATTGTTCTTCATTTCAATTATTGTATTGTTTTAAGTGTTTTTTGCACTATAAATAAGATATGTGCAGTATGCATAGGGATTCATGTTTTTTTTCCCTTCAAATTATAATCCAGCTCTTCAACAGTTTGAGGGACTGTGACCTGGCCCTCTGTTTAAAAAGTTTGAGGACCCCTGACTTAAGTTTTTACTTTTGGGTTATTATTTGTTAATTATTATAAGCTTATATTGACGTTGTTTTATTGATTGTGTTGACTGATCTGTTGTTTGCCTGTTTGGTTATGGCAGAGGAGATTGCATCTGAACATGAGGAAGAACTTCCTGACTGTGAGAGCCATTCAGCAGTGGAACTCTCTGCCCCGGAGTGTGGTGGAGGCTCCTTCTTTGGAAGCTTTTAAACAGAGGCTGGATGGCCATCTGCCAGGGGTGATTTGAATGCAACATTCCTGCTTCTTGGCAGGGGGTTGGACTGGATGGCCCATGAGGTCTCTTCCAACTCTTTGATTCTATGATTATTTATTATTACTAAATGGTGCCCAAACTGAGTTATTTCTATAGTGCAGACGGCATTCAACAACAAACCCGAATTCCATAGCATGTTGCCATGGCAGCCCAAGTGGAATGAATGCAGTATAGAATTAGGCCTCTTCCAAACAGCTGTGTAACATCCACATTGGACTGGATTATATGGCAGTGTGGACTTAAATAGCCCAGTTCAAAGCAGATCTTGTGGACTATCTGGCTTGATAGTCTGTGTGGAAGGGCCCTGCGTTAGAGACACCCAACCTCAAGCTACAATTGGAAAGAAGGATAGAGGGAAAGGGAAAGAGGGAATGGGGCGTTGCCATGGGCTTCCTTCCTGCCTTTCCTCCTTCCCTCCCTTCGGCAATGGCGTCTCTGGCCGCCCACCACAAACCACCACCTCAGGCCCTTCTTCTCACCCCTCGGAGCTCAGCAGCCGCCCTCCGCTTCCGCCATCTTCGCGCCTCCCTCACCGCCAGGCACCGCGCATGCGCCCCCGCAGAGTCACGTGATGGCCCTTTCCCGCTATTGGACTACAGCAGGCATGGGCAAACTTGAGCCCTTCAGGTGTTTTGGACTACAACTCCCACAATTCCTAACAGCCTCAGGCCCCTTCCTTTCCCCCCACAGCCGCTTAGCGGCTGTGGGGGGAAAGGAAGGGGCCTGAGGCTGTTAGGAATTGTGGGAGTTGTAGTCCAAAACACCTGGAGGGCTCAAGTTTGCCCATGCCTGGCTTAGATGCCTCACCATTGCAGCTAAAGTGGTGTCAAAGTGCATTAATTCTACAATGGAGACACTCCTCAGTGCATGGAAGGGCTGATAGGGAAGAATTGGAGAAGGTCCTGAAGTATCAGCATTGGAAGCTAAAGTCAGGATGGTCCATGCCATTCTCCATATATAGAATTTTACAATTGTGAAAGGTGAAGGAAGCAGATAGGAAGTGAAATCAACTCATTTGAAATGTGCTAAAGAAGAGTCCCATGGATTGCTACTAACTGGTGCGACTTACAGGGAGTGGTCAACCCCCCCCTGTTTAAGCTACACTGGACACCATTCATTTTCCGGTCCCAATTCAAGGTGTAGGTTCTTACCTACAAAGCCCTGAATGGTTTGGGACCCGCCTACCTGCGTGACCTCATTTCTGTGTACAAACAAAGACACTAGCTGGAACACCTCAGCAAGCGAGAGTCCAAAAGTGGCAGGCTCAAACCCAGAACCTCAACTAATGGCTGATACCAAATGAGAGACTCCCCCCTGGGCACACAGAAGACTGGGTGACTTGGAAGGCACTGAACAGACTGCGCTATGGCACCACGAGATGCAGAGTCAACCTTAAGAAATGGGGCTACAAAGTGGAATCCAAGACATGCGAGTGTGGAGAACAGCAAACCTGCTGCAATGCAACCTGAGCCTTGCCACATGCACAATGGAGGACCTTCTTGCAGCAACACCACAGGCACTCCAAGTGGCCAGATACGGGTCAAAGGACATTTAATAGAATACCAAGTCTTCAAATTTTGTTTGTCTGTCTGTTTTTTAATGCAACACAACTGTTTTGGTTCGCTCCTGACACAATAAATAAATATCATATCATTAGTTGTAGTATTATATTGTGTTACATTATAATATTATCAATATTATATGTTTATTCAATATATTATATTTTAAGCAGAGTGCAGGAGACAAGATGGAACCGCCTTCCTGATCTCAGAGCAGCAGTTGATTTACTATATTTTTATCCCGCCTTTCTTGATCCAGGAGGGGACTCAAGGAGGCTTACAGCGGACGCAAAATTCAATACCTTAAACAATTCAACCATTAAATAAACAATCGATTAAAAGGTTAATTCATTCTAGGTTAAAAGCAATTAAAACATAAACAGTTCCACTTATGGCTGTGTGGAAGAACGCAGAGCGAATATCTACACTATAGACTTAATGCAGTTTCACATCACTTTAACTGCCAATGGCTCAATGCTATGGGATTCTGGGAGTTGTAGTTTTACAAGGTCTTTAGCCTCCTCTACCAAAGAGTGCTGGGGCCGCAGCAAACTTGAACTACCAGGATTTCTTATAACATTGAACCATGGGAGTTAAAGTGGTGCAGTGTTCACAGGCATTGTTTGGAAACTACACTTCCCAGAAGTCTCCAGGGCCCGGGATTTGCTGGGAATTGTAGTGTAGCTTCTTTGGGGGCTGGTAGTTGATGGAGAAGCACTCAGGTAAAAACATTCCTAGTTTGCAGAAGTCATTTTATATATTTTCTTCCGGATTCCAAATAGACCTTTCTTCTTTGTTCTTTATCTATTAAAAAGAAACCCGCCTTCGCTGTCCTCAATGGTTCATCTCACCACGCTGAAACAGTGGATGTGGCTCTGAATGAGACATGCCGCATTATCACAGGGTGCCTGCGCCCTACACCCCTGGAGAAATTACATCAATAGTAATTTGTAGGTAGTGAGGTGACCTCAGATGTAGTGAGGCATTCTCGCCTGACATTTCGCCTGCATCTATGGCAAGCAGCCAATAGTGAAAGGACCAAGGCAGAGACATCTCCAGCTCATCCTCTGTTTGGGTATCAGCCAGCATGTCAACGACTTAAATCTAGAAATAGTTTTCTAAGATCTACAGCAGGGGTCCACAAACTTTTTAAACAGAGGGCCAGGTCACAGTCCCTCAAACTGTTGAAGGGCCGGATTATAATTTGAAAAAAACATGAATGAATCCTTATGCACAGTGTAGATACCTTATTTGTAGTGCAATAAACACTTTAAAAGAATACAGTAATTAAAATGAAGAACAATTATAACAAATATAAACTTATTAGTATTTCAATGGGAAGTGTGGGCCTGCTTTTGGCTGATGAGATATGATTGTTGTTGTCCTTGTGAACTTTCAAGTTGTTTCAGATATAGGTTGACCGGAGTGAGGGCCAGGTAAATACCCTTGGAGGGCCGCATCCGGCCCCCGGGCCTTAGTTTGAGGACCCCTGATCTACAGAGACACTTGCTGGAACACCTCAGCAAGCGAGAGTCCAAAAGTGGCAGGCTAAAACCCAGAACCTCAACCAATGAGAGACTCCCCCCTGGGCACACAGAAGACTGGGCGACTTGGAAGGCGCTGAACAGACTGCGCTCTGGCACCACGAGATGCAGAGCCAACCTTAAGAAATGGGGCTACAGGGTGGAATCCACGACATGCGAGTGCGGAGAACAAACTACTGACCACCTGCTGCAATGCAACCTGAGCCCTGCCACATGCACCATGGAGGACCTTCTTGCAGCAACACCAGAGGCACTCCAAGTGGCCAGATACTGGTCAAAGGACATTTAACCAAATACCAAACTCACAAGTTTTGTATTATGTCTGTTTGTTTGCTTTGTTCTGTTAGAACACGACAAATAAATAAATAACCTCTCCAATGGTTCATTCCGAGGTGTATTCTCCCTCCCCCCCGCAAATCAGAGAAATGGTTTGTCCCATATTCCTTTTCAGGAGGGGAGGGGGGAAGACGAGGGAGGGATGTTTGAGAGAGGGAACGAAGGAGGAGGAGGAGGAGTGCACGAGGGGACAGCTCGAGACGGGCGTGCGTGATGACGCAAGCACGTACGTTAAAAGGGCGGCCGTTAGGCGCGAGCGCCCCCACTTTCCGGGGCGCGGCGAAAGGAGGCGGTCCTCTCGCTCTCTCCTTCTTCTTCTTCCGCAGCTCCGGGGCGGGGCCGGGGCCAGGCTGAGCGAGGCGAGGCGAAGGGGGCGATGCCGACTCAGCGCGAGAGCCAGAGCAGCAGCACCGGCAGCATGTCTCACCCGGGGCTCGGAGGCGGAGGAGGAGGCGGAGGAGGGGGAAGCGGAGGCCTGGGCCTGAGCGGGGACGGCGCCCACCAGGTCCGCGTCAAGGCTTACTACAAAGGGTAAGGAAGAGGCTCTGAGGGGGAAAGGGAAGGAAAAGGACAAAGGGAAGGAAGGAAGGCGAGGCTCCTTGCCACACAGCATCCTGGGTTCACCGGCGGAACTCCCTGCCACAGGACCCGCGCTTCTCAAGTGGATATCAATGGAGAAAAGCTTCCTGTATCTTAGGGCCCTTCCACACAGGCATATAACGCAGAATATCAATAATCCACAATATCTGCTTTGAACTGGGTTATCTGAGTCCACACTGCCATATAATTGAATGTTTTATATTGTGTATAAACTGTTTTAAATTGTAAGTCACTCGGAGCACCTTGGTGGAGAGCGACAAATTAAGAAATAAAGTGATGATGATGATGATGATGATGATATAATAAATTCATGTGGTGATGATGATGTATTGGTCGTGAAGGCTTTTATGCCGGAATCACTGGTTGTTTAGGTTTGTTCAGGCTATATGGCCGGTTGTGGTTCTACAATGTATTGCATTCTCTCGGATTCCTGAAGTTTTGTGTGCGCATCTCTAGTGTGCAAGCATCCTCATGAGGTTGTGAGTTATTTTTGCCCTAGACCATTGCAGGGGGGGGGTAGTAATTTTCCAGTTGTAATTGGTTAGTTTGCCGGAATCACTGAGGCTTTATCGTGCCCATGGGCACGCGGGTCTCCTTGTTGTTTATATGATTATCGCATTCACTCTAGCCGGATCCTTATATATTCCTCTGAGGATGCTTGCCATAGATGCAGGCGAAACGTCAGGAGAGAATGCCTCTAGACCATGGCCATATAGCCCAAAAAAACCTACAACAACCCGATGATGATGATCATATTTATTTATACCCCGCTTTATCTCCCCAAAGCTTCCATTCATTTAACAACCAGCGTATTATAGGGCAGGATCATCAGTGTATATGTATATACCAGTTTATTTTTGGTCTTTTGTTTGTTTTTTTTTGTCATGTCAGGAGCGACTTGAAGAAACTGCAATTTATGTTAATTTTATGTTTCCCCCACTTTCGCTGTATACATTATATATATATGCATAATAAAAAAATTTTTTAAAAAAGAGAAACTGCAAGTTGCTTCTGGTATGAGAGAATTGGCCATCTGCAAGGATGTTGCCCAGGGGACGCCCAGATGTTTTGATGTGCTTTGAATCATGGAAGCTTTGGAAGCTTTTAAACAGAGGCTGGATGGCCATCTGTCAGGGGTGATTTGAATGCAATATTCCTGCTTCTTGGCAGGGGGTTGGACTGGATGGCCCATGAAGTCTCTTCCAACTCTTTGATTCTATGATTTTAAAATTGATCTCCCTCATGTCCCCGGCATGGGGAGCTGGAGCTGACAGAGGGGAGATCGGGATCTGCACATCTTGCGCTTTCTGGATTCAAACCTCCGACCTGTTGGTCTTCAGTCATCTGGCACAGGGGTTTAACCCACTGCGCCACCGGGTATGCTGTTAGGGAATTGTGGGAGTTGAAGTCCAAAACACCTGGAAGGCTGACGTTTGCCCATGCCAGGTACAGACCCCGAAAATCCCATGGTACAGTTAGGAATGCATTTTTTGTGGGGAATTTAAAGGCCAGAATTTATAACATTTACAAAAATCAACAGATCAAACTGACATCTGCTATTCATCAGTGATTCGTAATATTATAATTATATTTATTTATTTGTGACATTACTACCTCGCCTTTCTCACCCTAGAGGGGACTCAAGGTGGCTTTACATACAGGCAACGATTCGATGCATTAAAACACAATTATACCTTGCCTTTCTCCCAAAATTGGACGCAAGGCAGCTTCATCATGAAGCTATATCCACAGTCTCTTAATTTCATGATTCAAAGCACATCCATTTATTTATTTTACATATTTGTAACCAGTTCTTCTCACCCCTGTAGAGAGACTCAGGGAGGCTTCACAACAGGCATTCATTCAATGCCAGCAACAGTAATAAATGATAAAAAAAAACAATTAAAACAATTTGTTAATGCTTTAAAATTACTAAAACATTATGTAAATCACGCAGGTTTGAAATCATAGTCCAGGTCAGTCCATTGTCACTCACACAAATTGGGTCTCATTCTAAATTGCTGCCTCTACTGTTCGAACGCTTGGTCCCATAGCCAGGTTTTGATTTTCATTCTAAAGGATGGGGGGGGGGGGCAATATAATGGCTTTCGTCTCCACCAGTCGTGTTTGTGAGGTTGGTGGGACCGAGAGCAGGGCCTTTCCCATCGATCTTAGATTTCGCGATGGTTCATAGCAGGAGATATGTTCAGACAGGTAAGCTGGGCCAGAACTGTTCAGGGCTTTTAAGGCTGAAGACAGCACTTTGAATTGTGCTTGGCAGCAAACTGGTAGCCAGTGGAGTTGAGGTAACAGGGGGGTTGTATGCTCTCTATATGCCGCTCAGGTGAGCAACCTGGCTGCTGTCCGTTGGACTAGTCAGAGCTTCCGAACAGTCTTCAAAGGCAACCCCATGGAAGGTGCATTGCAGTGATCTATTTGGAATGTAACCAGAGCGTGGACCACTGTGGCCAAGACTTCCCAAGGTGCGGGTGCAACTGACGCACATTTGATGCATGGCTTGTTCCTTCCCCTCAAAGAGCTTTGACTTCTCTCTTTTACTGTGGGCTGAGAACTAGGAAATTACATCCCAAATAGATTACTGCAATACACTATACGTGGGGTTGCCTTTGAAGACTGTTCAAGTGGAAGCTTCTAATGGTCCAACGGACAGCAGTCAGGTTGCTCACTAGAGTGGTGTACAGGGAGCATGCAACCCCCCTATAACGTCCACTGGCTACCAGTTTACTGCCAGGCACAATTCAAAGTGCTGGCTTTAGCCTATAAAACCCTAAACAGTTCGGGCTCAGCTTACCGGTCCGAATGTATCTTCTATAAACCACCTCAGAGATTAAGATCATCTGGGGAGGCCCTGCTCTCACTCCACCTCTTTTGCAGGTGCAACTGGTGGGGACGAGGGACAGGGCCTTCGCAGTAGTGGCCCCTCAGCTGTGGAACTCCCTGCCCAGTGATATTAGAACAGCCCCCTCCATCTTGGCCTTCAGAAGGAAAGTAAAAACCTGGCTTTGGGATCAAGCCTTTGGAGACTAACTATAGCGCAATAACAGCTAAGGAATATGTGTGATAATTGTTGGAACGGCCTTGGATTACAATTGTGGGTGGTGTGATTTTTATTATTTATTTATTTCGGGCCTTTATATCCCGTCCTATCTCAACCTCCGCAGAGGGACTCGGGATGGCTAACAAATCGGCACCCACATCAAAAACATAAATACACAATTTAACGGCAGTATAATAATAATAATATAAAACAGTATAAAACAATATAAAACAGTATAAAAACAACAAGACAACAACAGTGAATTCAATGTTTTTATATGTTTTAATGTACCTTAATGTTAATTTTAAATTTTAACACAAATGTATTCTAACGGTATGTTGTCCAAAGGCATTGAATAGTTGCCTAAATGTAAAGCTGCCTTGAGTCCCCTTCGGGGTAGAGAAAGGCTGAATATAAATAGGGTAAATAAATAATAAATACAGCAGTGGTGTCTTTTTCTCCAAAAGGAATCAGAATAACTAGTAGAAAAGGATAGAGTTGCATACAGCCATTGAGGTTGAAGACAGAAAGATCTTGCATACATAAGATTGCTGCCTCATTTAACAGGAATAACTGACACTCATAGTCACTCATACCCACAATCATCACCTGCATGGGCCTAAATTGGCCCATGCCCGGTATAAATGCATCCCTGTTTCACCAGCAGAACTCGTGTTTACCACCTGGATTTAAATGGATTTAGACTTCCTCTAATAACAACCCATGGGTTTCTTAGAGGTTTCTTAGGCAAGGAGTAATTAACCTTCACCTGTTGAAGAAGTGTTTTGCCTGTATATGTTCCAAATCAAGGTCAACTTATGATGATGTCATAGATGTTTCTGTTTATCCCAGATTATCTGGCAGTGGGGACTTGTATAATCCAGGTTAAAGCAGAAAACCTGGGATCGGATCCTGGGATATAGGGACTGTCTGGAAAGGGCCCTTAGTTTCCAAGATCAGGAGGGATCTGGTACCCTCAGGGTATTGAGGCTTTTGCTGTAGGCTCAAATTCAGAGGAAGGAACTGTGGAAATCATCTGAGTAGTCCTTGACTAAGGGCTCTTCCATACAGCCATATAACCCAGAATATCAAAAGAAGATAATCCAGAAAACCTGTTTTGAACTGGATTATCTGAGTCCACATTGCCATATAATCCAGTTCAATGTGGATTTTACACGGCTGTGTGGAAGGGGACTAAGAAAACCCTATAAAATCCATGGGGCCACTATAATTAAGCAGTGACTTGAATGCACAGACAGACCTCCTGTAAATGATATTGCCCGCTAAATAGTTATTAACTCTTCACAGTTACATGCAACCACCATGACCTTGGGGAGGTGATCAGTGGTAGAGATTGTTGCTTTCATGTCCAATTTAAGATTGACAGCTGTTTTGAAAAAGGGATACTTGACAGGTTGTGATGTCTTATTCTTGTTTCTGGATCTTATACTCTAACATGAAAGAAATGGGTTACATGGTAGGTATTTGCCAGTCCATGCGGTTCTCTTTTGGTGCATATTGTCCATCCCTCCTTTAAGGGGTGATTGGCTTAGGAAAACATAGGAAGAACCACACTTTATGGTAAAGAGAATGCTAGTTCGGTGAATGCAAATTTTACAAAAATATGAGTGGTTGATATAGATTGGCTGTATGGTGATGCTTACCCTTGTAGCTGATGTGGTATATGTATGGCAAAGTTTAGGCCTTGCAACTGATGTTGGATGTCTTTATGGAGGGATTGATCCTTAGGATTATTATCGGAGGCTTTGTATTGGCATGAGAATAATGGAGATATGAGGTAGGCACTATGGCTGTAACTACAAAGGGGAAAGGGATGTGCAAAGGCACGTTTTCTTACCCCTAGCAGCAAATA